CTCTCTCTCTCTCTCTCTCTCTCTCTCTCTGGGTTGTGTGGTCATTGCAGCGTGAATGTGATGACTGAGCACTGTTCTCACACACACACACACACACACACACACAGCATCCTCAGTCAGACGTCACCACCTCAAACCTCTGGCTGTTTCCTGCTCTTTTTTTTTTAATTTTTTTATCACACATGAGAAATAATGTGAATTTCTTCGTGTCCTTCGCTCCGACAGTCCGCTGTGGGTCACGACTACCAAAGCAAGTTGTCCAAGCACTGCTCCCAGACGGACACGTCCAAGGGCTTTGGAGGAAAGTTTGGAGTTCAAGCGGACCGCGTGGACCAGGTACTTCCTGTTTCTGTCCAGCGCGCAGCGGAGCGCACAGAGCCGAGCCTGCAAACTGCTGCGCTCAGTATCTGAATGTTAACAGACAGACTTTGTTTGCATGTGCTAACGTCAAACCAGTTTCGAAGCTTTAAACAGTCAAACTGACATGAAAACTGTGACAGGGACAAAACATACAAACTGTTTCTTCTGTGTCTGGTTCCAGTCTGCTGTCGGGTTCGAGTACGCCGGGAAGACGGAGAAACACGCTTCTCAGAAAGGTGATGTCCCAAGTTGCTGCCTGTTGTTCAGCTGAGACGTTTTAGTGACGGTGGATAAACTCCAGGAATATGCAGCCGCGTCTTACGTCCTTTACGTGTCGGGCAGCTTTCGTTAACTGTGTAAACTTCACAGACACGTTTCCCGTCACTCACATTTATCAGTGATCGTGTTTCACGTGTTTTCATTGAGTATTGATGGAGACGACCACTGTCTGCTCCATCTGTTTCACCCTGACCTTTGACCCCTCCCTGCTCTCCTGTGCAGACTACACCACCGGGTTTGGGGGGCGATACGGCGTGCAGGCAGACCGAGTGGACCAGAGCGCAGTGGGCTTCGATTACCAGGGAAAGACTGAGAAACACGAGTCCCAGAAAGGTTTGTCTCCACTTGTGTCTGATGGATTCACACTAACAGCCTCTGACGCGTCGGCCTGAGAGCGAGCGCGGCTTCACGCAGGTCCTGACAGATCTTCTTCATTCCTCAGCCTGTGTCTGTTCAGCTCCCAAACATTCCTCTGACATCAGAGGCTCCTAGTTTGTGTGATGAACACAGTTCACCTCAGACCAACTTGCTGCACGAGTAGAAACATTTATACGAACCGATTTCCTGGGAGTTTAACTTTTCTTAACTTTTGCTTCTGCTCCTTCAGACTACACGAAGGGCTTCGGAGGCAAGTTTGGTGTAGAGACCGACAAGGTGGACAAATGCGCCGAGGGCTTCGAGTACCAGGGCAAAACGGAGAGGCACGAGTCGCAGAAAGGTCGGTGTCACCCGTTTAATCCGACCTGGTGTCAGAGGACGGGTCCTAACTTTTCATTTCTGTCAACACAAATGTAGTAAAAGTTATTAAAACCAAATGAATAATAATCATATAATTTAGTTTCCAGCTCAAAAACAACTTAAAATAAAACAGCACATGAGCACAGGGTGGCTCTGTTAGAGCGGCCCTTTGGTTGGTGGTTCGATCCCCAGCTCCTGCGATGCTGCACGTTTCATCGGTAGCTTCATTAGTGAGTTCCTGAGAGTCCGGACTCGACGCACCTGCACGGCCTTGATGTTTATATACGTGGCAGTCGTTGAAGGTGACCTCAGGAGCCCTCCACATGCTGTGTTTGCACATGTGCAGCGAGCTGAGTGGTTACACGCTCCGATAACGAGGACACGTGTTCCCGCCCTGTGTGAAACAAACCACAGGAGAAATCTGTGCTCGTCACTTTGAGCTGAAAGGTTCAAAACTAATTCACCAACACTGAGGCTGCTGATAAACCAGCTGGTCTCAGGTCAGTGCTCAGTATCTCGTTTAACGAGGGTTCGTGTCAGTGATTACGTTTCTTTCAGGTTTCTAAAGAATTATTATCAACACATGTCATTTTCAGCCACTAGAGGGCGTTCAATCAAACTATACAACAGACTTTATATAAAGACGGCTGCGTCTCTACTTCCTCTCACGAACGCCAACGTGTGAAACTGACTCGTCCCCTCAGAGGTCTCCGCCGAAAACCAACAGGACGCAACAAAAACTATCCTTCCAAAATAAAACCACACAAACCTTGGGCGGTGACGTCAGAAGCAGGACGTTGATGTGCCGTTGTGTTCTTCTTTGTGTGTTGTGTGTTCTCGCAGACTATGTGAAAGGCTTCGGGGGAAAGTTTGGAGTTCAGACAGACAGACAGGATAAATCTGCTCTGGGATGGGACCATCAGGAGAAACTTCAGCTGCACGAGTCGCAGAAAGGTACAGATGTGATTTCATGTGTTTTCAGAGACGAGCTGCTGGAACGTTCTCACTGATCAGTGGTTTGTTTATCGGATGTCAGCTGATTCATATGAGTGGATATTAATATGAGTGTTCATTTCTAACGTTAAGATCCGGACGGAGCTGCTGTGATCGCTCACATTTCTACATTTTTAACCCGATTGTCCGCTCACGTTAAAATCAAACTCTTCACGTGGAACTTTGAACGAGCGGCTGAGATTCGCTCGTGTTGTTCCCTCTCAGCTCGGCTCTTCAGCTCTGATGTGGTTCCATCTGTGGTTTGTGGATTTGGTCGTTCAGAGGTCGACGACTTCCTCAATCTGCGGTTCAGAAAAAAAAAAAAGAGAAGGCGGCGGCTCAGAAAGAGGAAGTGGAACCAGAGCTCAGATTTATATCAGCGAGTCTGAAACTCTCACAGAGACGAGACGAGCGGAGCTTTGATCTCCTCTGAACAAAGACTTGAGACTTTAACGTGTCCTCGACCTCGTGTGTCACTGTCTGTGTTTGTCTCTGAACATGTGTGTGTCTGCACTGTGTGTTGTTGTGTGTGTGTGTTGTGTTGCAGACTATAAGCGTGGGTTTGGAGGGCACTATGGGGTAGAGGAGAGGCGGGACCAGTGTGCCCTCGGCTATGAGCACAAGGAGAGCCTGGCCAAGCACGAGTCCCAGAAAGGCACAGACCCCCCCCCCTCCCGTTTCAGAAAGACCCCCCCCTCCCCTCCCCTCCCCTCCTCTCGGCCTCACGCTTCTGCTCTGGCACCGTCTTCCCAGCAGCTGTTTTCTCTGAAGTGACGGACGCTTCTCTTCCTCAGACGCACTCACACAAAAATCTGATTACAGCCAAAGTATCTGAGTGTCGAGGTTTGAGTGGTCATCTTTTCTAAACACAGATCGTGAAGATCCTGTGTTTACAAATGATAACCAGACCCCCCCCCCCCCCCCCCCCCCCCCGCTGAGACGCTGTTTGTCTGCTTGTGCATGACGTCACTTGGCCACGATGCATTTCAGCTTCCAGCTGCGACCCCTCGGAGACACGGCTGATCTCTCTGAGTCAAGATGGCTGCTTGACCCCGACTGTCTGTTGAGATCCTCGTGTCTGTCCCTCTGTCTGCGTCACCTTTTTATTTCGTCCCTCGTCCGCAGGTTTGCATGAGCTCGTCGGCCTGTTGTCTGATTCCAGCTGTTTCCTGCGAAAACACCACAGTCGACTTCCTCTGAACTCTCGCAGACCAGAGAGGGTTTCACACCGACGCCTCGTTTCTAACTTAGAGTGTGAAGGACGCTGAAGAGTTGAAGTTTAATACATCAAACTAGTCGGTGGTTGTTTTTGGTCTGAGCTGGAGAAACGGTTCTGATGGAGCCGACTGTGGTTGAACCTGTAACGAGAGACAGAGACTCACCTCCGCTTGTCTCCTCTGTCTCCAGATTACTCCAAAGGGTTTGGAGGGAAGTTTGGTGTCCAGAACGACCGGATGGATAAGGTAAAGTGTGCGTGTGCATGTGTGTGCATGTGTGTGCGTGTGTGTGTGTGTGTGTGTACGTGTGTGTGTGTACAGGGCTCCGTCTCATGTCTTTATCTCTCTGGTGGACAGAGCGCGGGGACGTTTGAGGACGTGGAGAAGCCGACATCATCTTATCAGAAAACCAAACCCGTGGAGGCCGGTGAGCTTTGATCCGCCGTGTTTAACAACGTTCAGCAACATGTTGTGACGTCGTCATCACTTCTTCTCTTCTTTCTCCAACTCGCCGCTCAGTCGGCAGCAGCACAGGAAGCATCAAGGCCCGCTTCGAGAACATCGCCAAGCAGAAGGAGGAGGAGGACAGGAAGAGGGCGGAGGAGGAGCGAGCGCGGCGTCAGGCCAAGGAGAAGCAGGAGCAGGAGGAGGCACGCCGTAAAAT